CCCAATGTTGAGATGGTCCCAGAGTTATGTTGGATCTTCTGATGGCCCATTGTGTCCCCAGAAATGTGAACAGACCTAGCCATGGTCCTTGGGCATACATCTTGCCTGCAAGCCTGGGCCTCGGAGCCTCTCATGAGCTCCTAGGAATTCTGTCCTATCTGTCCCACAATGAAAGGATTTCCTGAAGTGGTAGAGATGCCCAGTTACTGAGACTTGGAAACATTCATTCATTCATTCAGTAAACATTTACTGAAGTCTAACTGTTGTGTGGGCACGGGCAGCAGAAGTTACTCCATCAACAATGTGGAGGAGGAGATTCACAGCAAGTGGGAGATGAGGAAAACAAAGTGCTTTCCCAACACTAAGATCCTATGCTTAAAAGGAATAATGAGAAAAGTTAAATAACATGATGTGAAGATGCATGTATAAACAAGTAACCAGATACCATAATGAAGCAACTGATCTCATAACTATTGCTACAAATGGATGCAAATGTCTCCTGGGAAGGGCACAACATCTCTTCTGTGATTTCCCTGCCAAAACTGTGTAATCTGAATTAGATCATCGAGAAATAATAGACAAGCCCCAGTTGAGAGACATTCCACAAAATAAGTGACTGATAATTTTCATACATGTCAAGTTCAAAAGGCAAAATAAACACTGAGGAAATTCTGTGCTGTAGTTTAAACAAACAAAATAGACTTGACTAAGTGCACATTGTGATCCTGGAAAAGAGATATAAAAGGCTATTACTGAACAGCTAATGAACTTGAATATGGACTAGGGATTAGATAACAGTATTATATAAATGACAGTGAGAGAACGTCTTTTGTTTTTTTATGAAATAAATGCTGGGGTATTTAAAGGTAAAGGGGCATAATTTCTGCAATTTGCCCACGAGTGGTTTAGAAACAAGAAGAGATAATAATAAAGCAACTGAGGCAAAATATAAACAATGGATGAAAGTAGACAGGGCATATGGGAACTCCTACTATTCTTGCAAATTTTCTGTATGTACAAAATTTTATTTAAATAAAAAGTTGTAAAAATATGAAATAATGGAGGGAGCTTTGCTCCTTCTATTAAGAGTGTTAAGGATAGGGCAGCACGTGTGGCTCACTGAGTAGGGCGCCAGCCCCATATGCAGAGGGTGGTGGGTTTGAACCTGGCCCCTGGCCAAACTATAACAACAACAACAAAAAATAGTCGGCTCTTGTGGCGGGCGCCTGTAGTCCCAGCTACTCGGGAGGCTGAGGCAAGAGAATTGCCTAAGCCCAAGAGCTGGAGGTTGCTGTGAGCTGTGATGTCACAGCACTCTACTGAGGGTGACAAAGTGAGACTCTGTCTCCAAAAAAAAAAGAATGTTGAGTGGCTCCTGTGGCTCAAAAGGATAGCATGCTGGCCCCATATGCCAGAGGTGGTGGGTTCAAACCCAGCCCCAGCCAAAAGAAAAAAAAAAGAATGTTGAGGATAAAGGAGAACGCACAAGTTTAAATGTTCAAACTCATCCTAACTACCAAAGTATGGTGTCACTACCAACTGGGTTTCCTGTGGGTTACAAGGACTTCTGACAGTAACATATCTATAATAAAACGACACAGATCTGAAGTCCGAAAAAGCCAAACAGGGACTACTAAGGGTCATTGGCAAATCTTGAGGCTAGTAGCAAAAGATACACTGCTTCCCTAGGCCGGGCCCGCTAGTGAAAGTAGCTTTAGAAAACTGATCGCAAATTTATTCTAGAAAATGAGTCTAGAAAATTAACAGAACCTCTTCTTAAACATCTGCCTATAAAAAAAAATTCAAAAATTGACATTCATAAGTGTCAGGGATGTTAGAAACCTGAGGAACAGAGAGGTCGGGGGCCTTGTTCAACATCAAACATTAAGAAAGTGGTATAAAAACAGCGGGCATTGGGGCAGCACCTGTAGCCCCAGCCACTAGGGAGGCTGAGACAAGAGAATCTCTTGAGCACAAGAGTTTGAGGCTGTTGTGAGCTATGACAGTTCAGCACTCTACCCAGGATGACTGAGTGAGACTCTGCCTCAAAAAAAAAAGAAAAAGACAGGACTAATAGATTGCATTTTGAAGAACTGGGTATCACCAAACAAATAACTGAGGACACCCCAAACTATGGCTAATGTAAATTATTTCTTGGTTACCTTAAGAGTGCTCAAGGCAAAAGATGATTTTTAATGCCTCTTAACATTATGAGAAAAAAAAACTAATTTTAATTCAGACGTGTCCACATATCCACCATACCTCTGGCCTTTCCCCACCCCAGTTGTTAACTGCTGGTGATTCTTTCTCCAGCCCGCCCCCTTCCTGGCTCTCAGCTCTCCTTGACTGACCAGTATAGAAAAGTCACAAAGGATACTGCTGCCCTCTAGTGATCTTATGTTGGAAGTGTCAGCCACAGTAGGAAAAATCAGCAGTACTTTTGTAGATAATAATATTAATAAAAAGCCATTTATACTCCTCTAGTTATACTACTCTACAGTGGGTTTCAGAAGAGAAAAAAAGTGACTATGATCATGGAAAAGTTTTTTGACTTCACAGGGCCTCAGCAAAGACATCTGTAAAGGGAAGATTAAAATCTCTCCTTTTCATCATTGTCCTGTGAGTTGAGATACTATATTACACAAAGGGTCTTGAAACAGCACCTCTCACTAAAGGGAAATTATTGTTACCTTATTTAATTTGACAATTCTATAAGGTTAAGGAAGCCAAGCAAGCACAGATAACTCATTGTTTAAGTTAACTCGGCCGGTATTATGGGCAGAACTAGACATAGAATCCAAATTTTCAGATTCTAATTTTAGTTCTTTTCATGACACCTCAATATTCCAAACTCACATTGCTAACGAGGAATCTTAAAAATGTTTTTAATCTTGTTTTTTCTTTTTGAAAGGGTCTCACTCTGCTGTGCAGGCCAGAGTACAGTGGCCTGATCATATCTCAATACAACCTCAAACTCTTGGGCTCTAGCAATCCTCCTGCTTCAGCCTCCCCAAGTGCTGGGATTATGGGTATGAGCCACCACCACACCTGGCCATTTTTTTTAATTTTAAGGGATATTTTTATATGCTGCTAGTGGTTGCCCTTAAATCAGAAAAATATGTATTCCATTGATCAGTGGTCACATTTCTGGAACAGTGTCTTAAAAATTGTGAGAAACCCCAGCTTGGTGCCAGTAGCACAGTGGTGACAGCACTGGCCACGTGCACTGAGGGTTCAAACCCGGCCTGGGCCTGCTAAACAACAGTGACAACTGCAACAAAAAAATAGCTGAGGGGCGGCACTTGTGGCTCAAAGGAGTAGGGCATTGACCTATACCAGAGGTGGCAGATTCAAACCCGGCCTGGCCAAAAACTGCAAAAAAAAAAAAAAATAGCCGGGCATTGTAATGGTTGCCTGTAGTCCCAGCTACTTGGGAGGCTGAGGCAAGAGAATTCCAGGAGTTTGAGGTTGCTGTGAGATATGATGCAACAGCACTCTACTGAGGGTGACTTAGTAAGACTCTGTCTCAAAAAAAAAAAAAAAAATGGGAGAAACCCACAAAAATTTGTAGAGTGAGTTGAAAACAAGCTAAATAAGACATTTAATTTAGATTAATTCTGTATAATTGTTTTTATTTATTACAGAATTTTAGGTGCCAGATGCTTCTGTAAGGGTTATGAAAGTATCAACACTTCAATGATGTAGGTATAATTATTATTTCCATCCAACACGTGAGGAAGCAGAGGAACAGAGATATTAAATACCTTGCCCAAGGTCAAACATTAGGACATGAGAGAGCCAAGAATTAAACTGAAGTATTTTCTCCAGAGTTCAAATTCTATTTACTAATTAATCTGTTTCTGAGAAAGAACAATGCATGAATCCAGCCATGTAATGTCATTGACTAGAGGCGACTACATTATGGAATATTGTACAACAATAAAAAGTATGTTTTATGGGGGTATTAAATTTTTCACAGGTATTAAATTTTATGGGGGCATGCGTGCATTAAAATGTTAAGGAAAAACTGCATGCAAAACTATAAACCATATTATTTCAGTCCTGAAATATGTATGTGTATAAACATAAAACCAAAATCTAGATTTAAATAGTGGCTTTGGGGGGGTAATGGATTATTAGTCATTTTGTTTCCTCCTTTACACTTTCTAGATACTCTAAACTTTTATTAATGTGACAGAATTGTTGTGATCATCACAATATTTAGATTTTTAAAAAATTTAGGGTACCAAAACCCCCAGAATTTTCCAGAACAGGATTTACTTTATCGTAATAGTTAAATAATGAATCCAGAAGTATAAATAGGAAATACTTGCAAGAAACACAAGGATACCAAGGGTTGGGAATAGAGGAAGGATGTTCACACTGGAAGGGAAGTGTTTAGTAACACTGTGCTGCATTAACTTTGCACACTGGACCCAACTTTTGATTTAAGGTAGCTCTACATAGGAGGTCTCCTCCCAGCTATCATTAGAATTCACTGTAGACTGGAATAGTGTGGATAGAGAACCTTATCTTTTAAGATGAAAAAGCAGGGAAGAGCTCTAAACCCAGAGACACAATCTCTGGATTGGAGGGTTTCAAAAGCGCCATGGGAAAACAGCCTTCTGTTTGACAATAACCCTAAAAAATGTGTTGCTCCCTGACCTGAGCGGAGCCTATCAACAGCACCAGATGAGCCAGCAGAGGGCCCACATGGAGGTGGCATGTTTCCAGCCGCTTTGCACATGCCAATCTAATTCTCAGTGGAAGCCTGGAGATCAAGATAATGCCTTTGGCCCCATTGTCAGGCTGGGACAGTTAACACTAAACTGCTGAGTCTGACACTTAACAGGACTTTGGCACTCCCTTGAATACACACTAGATAGGCATTTTATTATTATTATTGTAAAGTAACTTGGGTTCACTTTAGAAATCCTTATTTGGTATGCATATCTGGCTATTTCACAGAAGTTTCGGTTTTGCAGAGAAGTTGGAATTGATGTCTCTCCTCAGAAAAGTTGGTAGTTATTAGGGGTCAACGGAAGTTTCAGAACCCACACAGGCAAAGAAGGTTCCTGCTAAGATTCACTCAAAGAAAACCACCAAAAGAGAATTCTGAGAACTCATTTCAGGATGAAGCTGCAAGAACAAAGGAGTATTTTTATTACAAACAAATGCTGTCCATTGATAAACAGATGCAAGAGGATTCTCTTCCCAGCTACTGCTGCTACTGCTGCTTCTGCAAGGGAAATCCAGCTCCTTAGAGGGCCGCTGCGGCTCCTTCTCCTCCTTTGTGCCCTGCAGAAACCCACACAGAGCTCTGAGGTAAGGGCAGCCAAGATCTCCTTACCAGCAAAGCTGTCACAGAGCGTCCACCTGGGGACAGCCTCTAGATGACCCAAACCTCAGGCACTTGGTATCTAATTTCATTCAGACATTGTAACAAATAATGTTAGTGAAGAGCATTGCAAATAATGATCGAAAATTGTAGAATTCTTTATAAATTTGGCTTTATGGAAGCTAGTGGTGTGGTTTTCTTGATCTCCATAAAAATTAAGTAAAATACTGCTTTCCTAGGACAAATAATGCAAATGGATCAAGTCTATTTGGCTTTAAACTGTATTATTCAGATAGGCTCAAGTTATACGTGTTCTAATTTAAATTTCTATCTAATGAAAAATAACCTAATGTTAAGAGATGACAATATACATATTTGAGATCTAGTGATACATTAACACGGTTTTGGAGTTCATCATGATATTTGACAGCATATGGTATTTTTGGTTTGTTTTAGCTTACATTGTCTGTAGACCTATTTTAAAACCTGCTGAAAAGAGTTATTGGTTGGAATCATTTAATTAGTCTTAAAATTTATTCTAGTTTATACACAACTAGATGATGTCTTATCATAAATAACAGTAAAAATATCAAATGGTGGTTTTTTGATATAATTTTTATTTCAAAATATTAGGAGGTACAAGTGTTCATGTTACATGAGTGCATTGTATCATGATAAAGTTGGGGCTTTTAGTGTACCTGTCCCCAGAATAGTGTATATTGTACTAAGAGGTAAGTTTGTAATACCTCAGCCCCCCTCTACTCTCTCCTCTTCTTAGTTCTAATGTCCCTTACACCACTATATGACGTGTGTGTACCCACAGTTCAGCATCCACTTGTTAGTGAGAACTTGTAGTATTCGCTTTTCCATTTCTGAGATACTCCAGTTCCATCCAGGTTACTGTGAATTGCTTCATTGCTTTATACAGCCGAGTAGTACTCAATGGGATATACACATACACCACCTTGTCTTTATCCACATCTTTGCAACTGTAAACTGTGCTTTAATAAACACTCAAGTGCAGGTGTCTTTTGATATGATAACGTCTTTTCCTTTGGGTAGATCCCCAGTAATGGGATTGCTGGATTGAATGGTAAGTCAGTCACTTTTAGTTCTTCCAGGAATCTCTATGCTGCTTTCCACAGAGGTTTTGCTAATTTACAGTCTCACCAAAAGTGTTCCTTTTTCACTCCATCCATGCCAACATTTACTGTTTTTTGATGTTTTTAATAATAGCCATTCTGATAGTAGTAAGGTGGCATCTCACTGTGGTTTTAATTTGCATTTACCTAATGATACATGATGTTGAGCAGTTTTTCATATGTCTCTCTTCATGTTTTTCATTTGTATATCTGCTTTTGAAAAAACTGTTCATGTATTTTGCTCACTTTTTCATGGGAGTTACTTGTTTTTTGTTTCTCTTGCTGATTTGAGTTCTTTGTAGATTTTGGAAATTAATCCTTTCTCAGATGAATAGTTTGCAAATATGTTCTCCCATTCTGGAGGTCATCTGTTTAGCTGGTCACTTATTTCCTTTGCTGTGCAAAAACTTTTTAAATTTAATTAAGCCACACTTATTTATTTTTGTTGTTGCTGTATTTGCCTTTGGGGTCTTAGTCATAAATTCTTTGCCTAGGCCAACTAGAAGAGTTTTTCCTATAGTTTATCACAGAATTTTATGGTTCAGGTCTTGGATTTAGGTCTTATTTTTTGAGTTCCAGTTCCAAAATTCTTAACATTGACTGGATGGAATCTTACCCTTTAACATATTTCTTAATGAGTACTGCTTATTTTAAAAATATCATTTCTTTGATAAGAAAGTAATGTTTGGGGATTTAGATCAGGCAAACATGGCTTTAAATGATGGATGGATGATGGGTGGTGAACTTTCATTCAAATCACTAACTTCGGTTTAGCACACACTAGATGTCAATGAATTATATTCATTGGGCCACTCATTGGAAAAGAATGTCTTTTTCCAAGAGGAGGGACCTTCCTGGGCACATTCTTGACTATTATCCAGTCCTCACTCCACTCCCCCTGGAGTGGAAAAATGTATGTGGTAAGTAATGTCGGAAAACATAACTGAGTGTGTTGAGTTTGGCTCTGTTCTTTTTCCTCCTGGGAGTTAGCCTGATTCTTCATGACAAGAATCTTACTTGGGTAGGCCCCAGGCCAATACTGCCTGTAACTGAGGAGGCAAACCTGCCTCCTTCTGGAATTTATTCTTAACAAACCACTCATCATCAGATCTAAAGATGTTGCTGCAACCTTTCCTCATTCAGTAAGAAAAATGATATATGTCTCTTTTTCATCTCAATTGTTTTAGAACCTGGATAGATGAGAGGGAGGCCTCCTTGGGAAACCCAATGCTCCTTATCACTTAAGGTTTTTCTTTAATAAATTTCAGAGATTTAATGTAGATTTTAAGCACTCATAAAAGAGGTCTTCCTTAGTACACTTTATGAGAGAATAGAAAGCAAAAGAAACAGAAAATATAATGTAACTGCAACGTTATTAATTTTTTCTTCAAAGTACTCAATATGGAAAAAATGCTATGATTTTAGTGATATGAAAAGGGTTACTTTCTCCCTAGGGAGATGAATTTTTCAGCTTTCAGTAACTCTTGTCAAACCAAATTCAATCTCTAGCACTGATGCAGAGGTACTGATGCAGGAAGGACTGGAACAATACCATGATTTTGAGTGAAACTCATTGCAGCAAATATTGATTTTGAGAAAAAATAAAAATAAAATAAAATATTGATTTTGAGGAGACTATTGGTCCTTATAGGGTACAGCAAATCTTCTGTCAACCTCACTGCTTGATCTGAAATATTAAAATCAAGATTGTTCTCTTCTTATAGAATGCAACAAAAATCAACTTTGACTTGGCACCAGGATCTTTTGATGATCAGTACCACGGTTGTAGCAAACAGGTCATGGAGAAACTAAATCAAGGGGATTATTTCACCAAAGACCTACAAGACCATAAGAACTACTCCAGGATATGGCATAAAACCCACTTAACCTGGATGAACCAACCACAAACTCTTCCCAAGAACATGACGATTCCACATGCCGTGGCTCTCCTGGTCTACACATTGAACAGCAATGTTCGCTCTGACTTTTGTAAAGCCTTGGCCAACGATGCCAAGACCCCACAGCAATATGAACATTCATTCTACTTCAAATATCTACACTACTATCTGACCACAGCAATCCAGCTGCTGAGGAAGGAGGTCACCAGGGAGAATGATCGTCTGTGTTACCAAGTACACCACGAAGCAAAGGGTGTCCCCTTCAAAGCCTACGTCGGTGCTACTGTGCGATTTGGCCAATTCCTCTCTACCTCCCTCCTAAAAGAAGAGGCACGGAAGTTTGAGAACCAGACGCTATTTACCATATTTACCTGCCTGGGTGCGTCTGTCCAAGACTTCTCCCTCAGGAAGGAAGTCCTGATCCCTCCCTATGAACTGTTTAAAGTTGTAAATATGAGCTACCACCCTCGAGGAAATTGGTTGCAATTGCAGTCAACTGGGAACTGGAGCACATATAACTGCCAGCTGCTAAAAGGTATTCTTAACCTAAGTTAAATCCACTCTTAGGGACACAGACCACTCTTCTTTTATAAAAGTTATTTTTTTCTGAGTGAGCTTAAGAGAAAAAGGCCAAAACCATGGAACTCGGCCCTCAGGAATGATAGAACTGACTAATTCGAGAAAAAAAAAAAAAAACCCTGAATTTCTTGGTTTCCTCTCTCTCCTTCCTCTTTCACTATCTTAGGAAAATGTGTTTCTGCAATGGCACGATTATGTAGGGAATTCTAGACAGGGAGAGTAAATCCTGACTGGAGATGACAGGGCATAAAATATAGCATCTTTCCCTTCTCCCTCAAACTCGATTCTTTTTTCATGGCCATTACATAGATGAGGAGTTCTAAAAGTAAAGCAGGAGGCAAGATTTATTCATTAGTTTTCCGTTCCTTAACCATCTTTTATTGCAATAAGAGGTGTTGACAATACAGAATGCATAAAGCAAATTCATTAACCTGGAAGAGTTTTTAGTTTTCAAGAGAAATGGAAACACGAATGAGTGAGAACATTCCAAAGTGCTAAGTGATACAATGTGAAACAGGTGTAAGCAATGGGTGTGTGGCTGCTCAATGCAGGGAAGTGGTCAGTCTCTCTGGGAAAATGAGAAAGGCTTCACAATAGGGACCACATGGGACTTCAAGTGGGAATGGGGGCTTTCACTGAAAAAAGAGAGAAAAGTCATTTTAAATAGAGAATAGCAGGTGATAGTTTCAATGTGTCCCCCCGAAAGTGTATGCAACAGTGTCGGGGGGTCCTGATAAGAGAGGATGGAGTCTCTCCTAACAAGAGACAATCAAATGAATATTGTAATGTCATATATCACAGGTGCAGTTATCACGAGGGTGGGTTATTATAAAGCAGGTTTGGCCTCTGGTGCCTCTCTCTGTCCTGTGCACTTGTTTGCCTTGCACCATGTGATGCTGCAGCACAAAGGCCTTGCCAAGTGCTGGAGCCATGCTTTCAGCCTCCAGGACTGAGAAATAAATTTATTGTTTTTATAAATTACCCAGGCTTTGGTATTTTGTTATTGTTAAAAGAAAACTGACAAGACACAGCATGTGCTACATTATAAGAATTTCAAACTGCTTGGTGTCTTCAGAGAATCTCTGCAATTCTGAGTGGCTGGAGGGTAGGAAGTGTAGGATGTAGGGAGAGTGTAGGTGTGGAAAGGGACAAGGCAAGTTATCCGGAGAGCTCTGACGGAGGCTGATTGTAAAAGTTCTTGTATTCCATAAGAAGGACGTTTGAACTTCCCACTGTTGGTAATAAGAAGTCCTTAGAACTTTTTAAGGAGTGGAGTATAAATTAAATCAATATTTTTACAAAGACCTCTGTTGATATTGTGAGCAAGAGAGATTAGAAATATCACAATACATGGGCAGCACCTGTGGCTCAAAGGAGTAAGGCGCCAGCCCCACATGCCGGAGGTGGCAGGTGCAAACCCAGCCCCAGCCAAAAACTGAAAAAAAAAAAAAAAGAGAAAAGAAAAGAAAAAGAAATATCACAATACAGAAAAGATTTGATAATCTCTTCTTTTACACAAGACATAGCCAATTCAATTTGCTACCTTTATGTTGACACCTGGTGATTTCACAGAGCGGTAGTTCTGTAGGATATGCTGCACCCTGTTTGACTTAGAAGGAAAAAAACTGTTGTTTATTCACACATGAATTCTTCCACACTCACAGCTAACTGGAACTCAGCTGCAGTGTCTAGCTTTGAAATATCCCCAAATCTGTCTCCACTCTGTCATTATTGCTACTGCTTATATTAATAATTCAGGCTATCAGCGTTTCTCAACTTTTGGGGGCTGTAGTATTGTCACAAAGGTCTTCCAACTGGCATCCACGCTAAGGTCTAGAGCTTGCTCGGTCTGACCTATCCATAAATACAGACCAGGAGAGGTAATGTATCAATATTTTTACCTCTTCCCACCTCTCCTTAGCGGCATGGCAGCAATACAAGTGAAAGGAGTCTCTGCCCCACAGACCCGAGAGTTCAGTGTTTGCAGAGAATGAAAATCTATAGTAGAATATGGAGAAAACAGTGAGATTTTGATAGTAAGTGAGAACATTCACAGCCAGGTTCCAGAATTGTTTGGAACTACACGTGTCTAGGACACTATTACTTCATTCTCCTCAGGATTATGGGACCTATGATTCTTCTACTAGAATAATGAACACAGTAAAATATGTAGTAAAAAGTCACAGGAAATTTATATCAAGGAGTGAGAAATGGAGGGAAAATTGTATGTAATAGAAACTGGTATTATGTTCTGACACTATAAACCTCAAAAAGATATTTTAGGGTACCCCCATACACACACACACACACACAAATTAATGTTTTTATCCTGTGGTGAAATTACCCAAAGTTACCTTTAACTCAGTTTTGAGTTAAGGCTGAGCTAGGTTAGTCATGTGTATTTATTCGATTCTAGGTTCAGAAGTTTGGTTGGTCTTGATTAGCTATTTGAAATCACAAATCATACCTAAGAGAATCAATAATCTGGTATTGGTCTGTAAGTTCTTTGTGGACAGGAGAGTGACTACATAGAATTGAAGAGCTAAGTATGGAATTTAGGCTGTTTGACTCCACATCTATCCTGTCTGAATTTGTATCCAACCTGTACTCCTAATAAGCTTTGTAGTCTCAGTCAAGTTGTTTAAACTCTTCAAGTTTCTTTATCTAAATAATGAGCATCGTA